AAATAGGCACCTAAGTACGTGGCCCGTGTGCGGCCTCAAAGCCACCGGGACGCCGCGCGATACGGCGCTATCACAAAGGCGCGATAACGAAACGGTGAGGCCCGACATTCGATTCCGAAGTTCCTGCTTTGAGCTCCGACTCGACCTGTCACGGTGTCCTAAATCGACTACAATGGCTCTTGGTCTCTAAGCCTCGGGTCGCGGGTCGCGAAGGAAGCGATCGAACTAACCTGGACCGATAAGAGTGCCGACTAACGGTGAGGCTGAATCTCTCGGCCATTTCGTATCGCTTTTTGGACGAGATAACTCGATCGAACCGACCTGGACCGACGATAAGACCGACGACGAGGCTGCAGGCTCTTCGTCGCTTTGTACCCGAGGGGTCTATTCCCTCGGAAATGGGTGAAAACGATTTCCTTTTTTGGGAACCGATTGCCTTTCATTTCATATGATAAACGACAATGCGATTCTGTGACAAGTGATCTCCGACCTTTTTTTTTTAATACCTTCATCATTTAAATAAACTTCTCATTTAAAATCGGTACAAGCGGGTACGAGCGGGTAAAGTTTTTGATTTTTGAGAAAGTAGAGGCCTACTTCACAGACATGACCTCTCCACGTTTAAGCAAAAAGCGTGAAATAATTTTCGATCGGCACCTGCGACGGATCGCGCAGATTGACGAGGGTACTGTCGAATTGAAAACCGTGGAAAATGGGGAGAAGTTCCTCGGATTTGTGTCCAGGATCGCGCTTCTTCTCCGCGGTTCGATTTTACGCCGAAAGATTGGATTCCCTGGCGGAAAATCGATCGTCGGGCGAATGGAGCCCGAAAACGCGAATCGCCCTTATAGAATCAAGCTCGAATGACGGCCATTTTTTCCGCGAACCCGGGAATAAAAGCTCTTTCTTTCCCCGAGATTCCCCTTATGAAGGGGCAATTTTAGAGACACGCTCAGGGGTTGTTCCGAGCTTCTTCCGGGCTTAGGGGAGGGACGCACTAAACTGCCACTGAAACGGAAGCTGGAATATCAGACCGCTGCCATTTCTGACAAAAGCGGCAAACTGATACCGGCGATCGCGTTTCACGTGTAATTAAAGCCTCGCTTACGTGTCCGCTTAAGGTGATATGAAAGGGACCGTCTATATCAAAACGTGAAAATATTTAAATAACTTCTCTCCAGACTGGGCGCACCGAATAAATCAAAACTTTAAGGCCGTTTGCAGAGGCACGAAAGAAATTTCATTTCTTGACTCTTGTCCGTAATAAACGCAAAAGTTCTTTGATGAAAAAATGAAACTCCGCACCTTCGCTAGGACCTTCATAATCGCACGTTAAAATTACAAATAATTCAGTACACCCAGTTTGAAGATTGATAAATATTCGGGGCGACTGGTATGTGCGCAATAATAAATTCGCGTTAATAAAATAATTCCATTCGTAAGTCGATTTCCCTCCCCTTTTATCCCGATAGTTTACGGAAGCGATGGCAGGGTAAATTCGGAAAGTTTCGGGGCATTGGTTTCGAAAAGCCGGAGGTTTCGGTGTCGGCAGTCCGGGGACGGATTACGCGTCCACCCCCGCACCCCTCGGCCCTCGAATTGGGCGGATCGGACTATTTAGACGAGCGGCCGTCGCGCGAATTTCCGGGGGATGAGAATTGGAATTTCACGAGCCCTCCTGGCGCCAGTCGATACGTACAGGGCCAATTCCGCCGGGCAATCGTATCCGGTACACACGGTGGCCATTGTTCCAAGGGGGATATCCGTCTCTCTCCAGCCGGCGCGGTTTCCCCGCGGACCGTGTCGGGGTGTCTCGTTCTAGCCCATTGCTCGTTCTCTGTCCAGGGTAACGACGATGCGACCGCTAATGAAACGCGTTGCGGTTAGATTAACCCTCCCTAACCGGCTCCGGGATATAACTCGAGTGCCACCCTCCCTCGTTTTCCAAAACTTCGACCGAGTTCCTTCGCCTCCTGGAAGAAACTCCCTTTCGCCGCTGGTAGACAAATTTTCTCTTTTCAATATTTCCTTCTTCGTGATCCGTGGAAATATCGGAATCGAATGAACGGTGGAAACGGAGTGCAGATATGGAATTGAAAAATTCTCGGTAACATCAAATTAAAGAAGGTAATTATGAAACGTTCCGCATGTTACCGAGACTATCGAGAATTTATGCGAGCGTTCATTTTTTTTTATTTATTTATACGGGAGGTTTCTTCGTTTAAGTAACGTTTCGTTTCGATGCACTTCGGAGTTCGAGTTGCAGAGTAAACTTTGGAAAAGTGACCGACAAGTAACCGGAAATTCATTATCGTTCCTGACGTAACTTACCGCGTTCAGAACGCTAGTGTCGTGGTGCAGGTCTCGACTGTAACTAGATTCGCGGCCACGATCCCCTTTCCGGCGCTTTCCCCTAGAACCAAAGTGGACCTACCGCAATAACGAATTACTAAGCATTTCCGACCTTAACTTCGTGACTTCCGAGGCCACTTAGAGCGTTCCGGTTAGCCAACGAGGGTAGTTTCCATTGCTTTGGCGTGTCAGCCCTCGTGACGAGGAAACGAGATCGCATCAAGCGGTCGTTTTTTTCCCATTCACCGAGATTATCACAAAACCGGACGATTCGCATTTTCAAGGGTGCTCTCAGTGACCACCTCCCTCGGAAAGGAATATTCCTAGATAAAAAGAGACCGCCGATTCAAGTACCTTCTCCTCTCCCTCGAGAGAGAGAAGCACCCCTTTCGTTGCCGCGGATCTCTTTTTATTTCCCTCGTTCATTTTCTTTATCCCGTTTAGATTTTTCACGCCGGGAAGTGGCACTCGGAGGCCATTTTCCCGCGCAACTGGTTGCTTTCTCCCTGGCCTTTTCGCACAATTTGTACACGCGTCGGCCACGTGGGCAGCGCTCGCGTTTTGTAAGGACAAGCTCGCCCACGCCCACGGGGAGCAGGTTTCGACGCGGGGAACTATTTTAATGGCGTCGTAAATTCTGCCTCGCGGATATCGGTCTCGTCTCGGGCGCGAGGCGCAACCTGACGAGAAGTGTATCAGGTTGTTAACGCCGGTCAGCCCCGAATCGGCCTCGCGGCGCATTCGCTCCCTCCACCAGGGCCGGGACGATCGACTGCAGCGCGCGCCCATAGATGCAATCGGCTACCGGAAGTTATGTCTCAATAACCGCTCCTCGAGGGAATAAACCACCCTCGTTTCCGCGGTTATCCCAGATTTCCTGCACGCGAACGAGCTCCTATCCCCGGTAATCGCCGCCGCGAATTCCTCTCTTCCCCTACTTTCTCCCAGAATGAAGCCCGACTTTTGTGGTCCCCTCGTATTTTGTCGTAATATCTGCTATCGCGTTTAGTATATCGGATATGTACAAGATCGATAAGAATTACCGTGTAATAGGCGGTTCGCTAAATGCAAAGTGGTAGGCGACTCGTTCGACCGTCGGGAGCTAGGTCTCGATAACCGGTCCCTGGGATAGAATTTGTTATCCCGCTTCCGCGGATATCCCGGGGATTTGGGATCCACGGGTGGAGAACGGATTTGGAGGGTGCAACAAGTTAATCCTAGCGCGGTAAATAGTGCCGGGGCGGAGAGCGAAATAAGAAGGAAGGAATTCCCCTTAAGTCTTCTTCTCGCTTCGCGTGATTTAGCCTTTAGCGCTGACTTTTTTACTCTTTCCCTAGTGGGTGGTTAAATTCATTTTCGGTAAGGTTTTAATTTAACCGGAGTTTTGGCCCTAGTTTGCTCGGAGGCGAGTTCGTTACCTCGGAGGGTCTCGCGGTGATTTATAATTATCGGGACAGGCGACAATGGATCCTTTCAAGCATGGACTTTCACAAGACGCGCCTTCATTGACTTCGAACTAATCCAATCAGACGGAGTCCTCGCTCTACAAGGGTTCGCTAAGTACGCCTACTTACAATTAGTACACTCGCATATGCGCGGACTGCATTACCGGCGATGTTCAATGAGAATGTCTCGTCGAGCCTTACGTGCGAGACAGCTTCCATTATCGGCACACTTACTAAAATTGGTGGGAGCTAATTACGCGGATGTTGCATCGAGGATCCTCTCGGGGGACTTCGAAAAGAAGGTTAACGATCGTTTGACTTTTTGCGGAGGCGCCGCCATCTTGATTCGCCGCGACCGGAGCGGCCCTCGAAATATGGCTCCCGGAAATGACGACTTTGCGTGTACTATTTCCGCGGAAAATTTAACGGTGTACGTTATAATGTACGGCGAGGACATTAGCGCGTCCTTCCTCGGAAAATGGACCGTTTCTTCCTCGGGAAAGGGGTGTCGGGATTTCCGGAAGTGCCGCCAACTTTACAGACCCTTGCGACCCGATAAAGCGGGAGGGCGGGGTGGCGATTCGATTTTCCCGAGTCGCCTCCCCGTAAACTAATTCGAGTTAATTAATTCCCGACGCGAAGGTGCGCCTAATTGGAAAAGTATGCGCATCGGAGTTCCCGACCTCGATTCGCCAAGATGGCGGCGGGCTCGAAGTCGCGTTATCGGGCGCATCGATTTCATCGGTGTCGAAGACTTCGCATCCGAAATTGGCCGGCTGCGCTAATCCGGCAAGGCTAAACGGAAATCCGACTTAAGTTAATATCCTGGCGCCGCTGGCGCTCGCAAATTGTCCGGGATTAGGACTCCTGGGGGATGATGAAAGCCTCCCGCGGCCGCCATCTTGCCAAGGTGGCCGGAAGAGCCGCGCAAAGATTACCCGTGGAATCAATTAGTCTGCTCGACTAACCGAGTAATTGCCGGCCGAGTTGGAATTTATTTCGGGGAAAAAAAAAATCCTGGGCCACGAATTAATGAGATTCGGGACCCATTGAATAAAGACCCCCTCCTTTCGCGCGAGATTAAAAATATCCTAGGGAACCCGTCAGCCTCTGATCGTTAATTCCTATAATTCGTGCTCGCTCTTAAACAGTTACCGAAATGTATCCGATTATTATTGATCATAAAATATCGTTTGTGTCCAGGTGGCATTAACGACGTCCTGGTCACCTGAGAGCGAGGAACGACCTACGCAACGCCGCCAGGAGACGAGAGGTGAGCGCCATTTGGTTTTCTCGGTATCGCCATATTTCTTCAAGGAAGAAGAAAAGAAGTAGGCTAATATTCGTGCCTAAGAAAAAAAAAAAAAAACATTTTCTTGGGAGGGTTACGTAACGGGCACCCCCCGAAAAATCGCAGGGACATCCCTCGGGATTTCTGGGTAGGAATCGGGGCCACGGTCTTTCATAATCGAGAGATCTCCGGCACTTCCGGGCGCATTTGCATTAATTTCAATAATTCGCCGACGCCGAGAGACAATTCAAAGGGAGGACGCGCGGCGGCCGAGGAACACGGCGCAAAGGAGAGGGGCTTGAGTGCCTTTATTGGCCCCCTTTCTCCGAGGCTCGACTCTTTTTCCAAAATCCGAGAGGTTCCGCATATTTCTCCCCGGATGTGCGGAAACCCCGCGTCGATTCCTCTCCTCGCGACATAATATAACGAGGACCTCGGGGGCGGACGTGCGACTCTTTGATTTATCCCCGCCGGTTCATAAGCTAAATTCAAATGGAAACCGCAAGCCTTTCTCCCGGCCACTTCCCCGAGTCTTGCGGCTCGAAGATCTTTCCGGGAGAAATTACGATCCCGCCTAGGAGGCGCAATGAATGCAGATTGAACCTCGGATTGCTCCGCCATCTTTCTTGGTCTTTCGACGCGGGACCTTCCGGTCGTCGCAACGTATTTCTCCCCTTTTTTCTTTATATCGCCCAGACTTAATAACTTGTATATCTCGTTCCTGGGAGGTGTCTCGTCTTCGAGAAAATCGTTCGCAGAAGCCGGGGGCTCGTAATGCCCCGGCAAATAAACACAGCGTGCGTCCAAGCAACGCGTAAACGATAAGTAACCGCCAGCGCGGTAGTCCAGGGGCCATCTGTAAAGTTTTATGTAGCCACGGGTAATAGTGCATGCATAATGATCACCCGGGCCCATATAAGTGTACGATTCATGACTCGGCTTCGCGCTTTGCCCATGTTTCGTGTCATTATACCGATGGTTCTCGCCGGCGCTAAATTCATTCGCCTCCCTGTCGCGCGCGTCCCGCGCCGCCATTTTGGATCGCGGACTCGCGAGGGCGATTTTCGCCCATAACGAAAACCAGGAAGTATCGACACCGGCCTGATCGATCCCCGACACCGTACCTCGACAATTAACACGAGTCGGGTTTAATGGTCGCAAAGTCGCGGCAAGTAGCTGCAAGTGCACCCAGTGGAGGCTGGGGATAAGTGCGCCGGATGCAATCTGCATACGAAATCGGAACGAGCCGACGGTCCCTAATGGATTTTAATTGAAACAAATACAGTTATTAAGCCGCGACCGGCCGATAGATCGGTATCGGGCCCTAATAACAGTAATTTATCGGTCGCGATGTAAACGCCGTGCGCGACGCGGACGCGTGTCAACTTTTCGCCGCGGGTCGAGCCGCACCGTTTACATCGAAACTCGTGTTTGCCGAACGCCCCGATCTTGTACGTATAATTACCGCCAAAATGTGCACTTCCTGCAACCAATTCGAGGTACATCCCAATCGCGGCCTTTGCCGTCGTGCAGGGGAATTTTCTTTCCCCCATTGACAGGATATTTTTTCCTCGGTGGATAATTATGCTTTTCCTGACCATTCTTTTTATTTTATTTTTTTTTCCGCGTGAAAACGGAGCGACAATTTCGCAAGACGGACCGAGGGAACGGAACTCGTTAGGAGTTTGTTCGAGAAGCCGGACAGTTGTATCTAGGTAACAAGGTCCGCAACTAATTGGCACCGGTGTCCGATCGTCTCAGCGGTGCAACGAATTAGTCCGCTAAGCCCGATGCACCGGCGGTGCATATCGATCAGTCGGGGCACAGGTGCATCGGTGGCGGCGATCACGGCGACTTAAGTCGCCTTTGATTTCGAGAAGGAAAGCGTCGAGTCGGAGGTCGGGGTCTCGGGGATGTTCCTGGATCCCGTAGAGTGGTTCGATATGCAGCCGGTGCACGGGAACACGTAAACTCATGCATATATACGGGGCCGTGATTGGTACCCCCGGCTCAATGGCGGGCATTATCCTCGGAGCACCTCGAGGAAGGAGCATCTCACCGTGCCCCTTTTTCCCGGGGATCTCTAAGCAGCCGTAAATACCTGAGCTGCTCGCCAAAGTTGCACTCTCGAGGGTAAGGATTTTCCTGCAGTTTTAGGTTACCGACAAGTAGCAAGAGCGGAGGTTCTCGCGTTTCGCCGCTCGTTCCCCTCCCCGGGATGAAAATACTACCTCCGGGGCTCTATAAAGCCGGGATATTCGCCGGATTCCGCGATTCGACCAAATTGAACCCCCGACCTGGGGGGTGTCCTTTACGAAGTTAGCCTTGGTTTAATGAAAAGCACAAGTCGACCGACGTCGCGCCAAGAACATTTTGCGATCCCTGGATTGCGGGGTTCCTTTACCTTCGTTGCCAGTAACCTTAGAAAAAGAATTCACGGTTGTAACAAAAGATTTTCCCTTCCTTCGACCAATCTTAACTCTTGAAAATGAGCCAGTAAAATGTTCGGAAACACATTTATTATATTAATTAAAAAAAAAAAAAAAAAAAAATTGATCACTTCACTGTGGCGACAAAAATTCTATTCATGGTTGCAATATCCTTTTCTAGCAACGATAAATTCGATATAAATGCTAAGATTTTTGCTATTGGTGTTAAGATGCAGCAAGAACGAAACTTTATCAGCGATGCCGCCTTTTGCTAAAAGTCCAAGTTTATCGGGAGGTGTAGTTTATTTATCACTGATTTTAAATCGCGAAAGTGTCGAGCCGGGATGGATGTCGCGATGGTTGCAGTTTCAAGGTGTGTCATGGCGAGCAGCGAGCCAGACCGAGGGGCTCTTCTTCCGGTTCCGAGAGTCTCGCGTTTCTCCTCTGGTCTCCCTCTCTCTCGAGTGAAAATACACGCTCCAAGTTTCATATTAAAGCAATAAAGTGTCCTAGCCCGAAGCGGGAGCCGCGCGCGGAGTCTCCGCATGACTCCGAGGAATATATATTTCCACCTGAGAGTTATCCGCTCTGCCGGCAACCGGTGACAAGAGTGTCCTCGCGTTACAACGCGGAAACTTCCTCTCCAGGGACTGCGTCCTCCCCGAGGACGCGTAGCTTTATGAGCTCCGGGTTCTTATTTACGTCTTATCCTGGATAAAGAGACCGGCGAGAAATCGCCGCGGGGACTTCCGGAGGACAGGTCGTTGTAAAAAATCGGATATCTCGCGAAGAAAGGCCCACGCTCTCGAGGAGGCGTTCGCTCTTCCTGGATTTCTTTATTTCCGCTTCATTATAAATAGGGAAGTGATTTAAAGAAACCAGGCCGTTGCCAATGTACTTGGCGCGAGACTCAGGCGAGCTTTTCGACGCCACGATTAATGGGGCAACCTGCTGATCCCCGGGCAAACGGAACTCCCGCGAAGTAAACGGAAGTCGGAGGGACGTTTGGGAAGTTCGGTTTGTTTTCGCCCCCGTAAATTGCCGAGACAGGTCCCGTGTAAACGCCCGGCTGGTGGTTTTCGATTTTCGGGGGGGCGTTCGGTCCAGGAATAACCGAAACAGCCGAAAAGCGAAACGAGGGCGCCGGCTCTCCGCACTTTCGACCCGACTAATCTTCCCTCTGACTTCATCTCGTGTAATTAAACACGGACGTTTCATTGACTTAGTCAAACCCGTGACTCACGTCCCGGGCATTTCGAGACGTTAATTGATAACTGCACCGACGACCCCTCGCCTTTACAGCCTGTCCTCTGTAACGCATGACGAATTAACATTGTACGAGCGTTACGTGCCGCATACGTTTACGCGTATTTACGGTCGATTTGTGTTTACGGGACGGGTGTTTCGATAACAGGTGTCGATAAACGATAGGATACCATATCGCTCCGATAATCGTTCCGTCTCCCTGTTCGTCAGGAAAAATCTCCAAAATTCGTTAAGGTGGAGTGAAACCCCCCTCAAACCAGTCGATTCGAATTTGACACTTTTTTCAAGGGTATGGACGAAATTGTCGAAATTTGGACACATGGCTCGTGAGCACTTACGAATCATTCTGATAGCTTAAAAATTAAAATTTTCTAGATGACATTTGTTCACTGAATTTCGTACTCCGGACTAGTCTCGACATCGTCTTCGGGGGTTGAGAGGATTCTCTCGTCCCTTTTTCGACCCCCGAGGGTCGGCCATGGAGTGCCTTCGATGAAGTTTCCCTCGGATCTTCGGGGCAACGCCTAGAAACTGGAGAGCCGTCGTTACTCGTAGATGGCAGCGCTCGTTATTTCGAGGCCTCTCCTGGAACTCTCGTTACTCCGGCGCTTCTTTCCCCCGGTAATGCCCCCCGAAGGAATAATAATTAATGGCCGAATCGTCCCGGAAGGCACGAATAATAAAAGGGGCGGATATCGGGGCGAGGAATCCATCCGAGGGCGCGGATCTTCCCGTCGACCTCGGCCAGAGGGATTTCTCGCGAGGCGCCGTTTGCGGCCCTCGGAACGAGCCCTTAACTCCTCGCTCGTTTGGTCGCCACTTTGCGGCGGCCTGCCTGAAATCCCGAGGTTTTCTCCAAATTAATTAAACTCCATTAAGTCCATCTCGCCGCGCGCATCTAACGCCTCACCTTATCCGCGCCGCTCTCGCGCGCTTTATTGCTCGCTCTCGTTACTCTCGTTGCTCCCGTTTGCGCCGCCGTTACCTACACTCGGGATCCCGCGGTAAATTGTAACGAGTCGACTTTTACTCCCCGCGGTGAGAGTAAAACCTTTCCCTCCCCCGTACCCGGGGCAAGCTGACCAGCCGCCCCGTCGTGCATAAATAACCTTTTTCTTGAATTATTTGCAAAATACCCTGGACCGCAATTATTACGCCCGAGTGTATGTCCTACATTTCGAAGCACGATATTTTGGAAAATTCTCACGTTACGGAAGCATGTCGCGGAGAAGTGAATTTTAGGTACCGAAAGTCCCGAGAATACGCGTGAACCATGTTTTCGTTGCT